AAAAATATATCAAAAATGCATGTGGGCACTCAACTGAAAGCTCTTGATGAGTGTAACATCGGGATGAGCTTATATTTTTAAAAATGTCAATAGTTTACAAGATACAAGGTCATTTCTTAATTATGTATCTAGAAATAGAGAATTTTTGAATGCAGTCTAAATACTTATAATAAATTGACGATCAATGAGAATTATCAAATTTCTGTTAATTTCAGTGTAATAAATTTTTTTTAAGATATTAAAAATTATTTTACTTGGGCATAATTTCCTTCATTCATACGGTCTTTTAAATTACTAGGTAATTTAAATAAAAATTGTAAGCGTTTTAACAATGCATGCACAGATGACAGTCTTGATATTTGCTGTCTTGTATCTTGGAGCGTTGATGATATTTGGTCGGAAAACATTGTAATATTGTCCATATTCGTCGTCAGTGAATCCATGCTTTCTTCCATTTCTTTAAAATCGGTTTTCATCTGATAAAAAAATGAATAATTATTATCATAAAAAAAAAAATATTCTTATTATATTATAATGAAATTATATTTTCGAAATTAATTAACAGCTGATATAGAAATATTTTAATAATTTATTTTTGAAATAAAAAAATTGTCAGATAATAATTATAATTTATAAAAATACCTTTCTAATAGTATCAGTAGCAGCAATAAATTTATTATAATTTTCATAAACTAGCGTTTGCATTTCAGAGTGTAATACTTGGGTATTTCTTCTTATTTCTTCTTCATGATCCATAATTTGTTTTAGCCTATACTCCTTTAATAAAAATAATATTATTAATTATTAATTATTACTATATATTAAAAAAAAAAAAAAAATTTATAAATAAATAAAATACCTTGGTCAATTTTTGTATATACAATTCCGGATCAAAATGTGCTCCATTTATATCATAAATATTGCTCGAACTCTCCGCCATTTTTATTTATATTATTGTCTTCCTTAATAATTACTAATTTTTCCAGGTAATTTGTTCAAATTTGTTCTAAATAAAAAATAATACACTAAAATGTTGTGACAGTTGACAAATCATCACTCCACTTCTGAAAAGTTGACAAAACAGCTGAGACTGAGAAGTGCCGCCGCCTGGCGGAGAAATTTTAAACTAGTTCTTACTCGCCGCCAACATTGTCGTCCTCCATTTTACCTGCCTCAATCTAGAAAATATTTTTCACATGTGACAAATTAACCTCTAAAATTTTTATAAACAAAAATTAACAAAAAGTGCTTATTATTTCTTTTTTTAATTGTTCGTGAAGTTATAAATAAATCAGGTGAGCTTTATTTATGATTATTTTTATACTTAGTGACAATATTATTAGTGTCTGTGTTAATATATTTTAAAAATGGAGTAATATCTTACAGCAAGACATGTGGTTACAAAAATTAAAAAATTTTTAGTTTATTTTGTTAAAAAAGAAGAAAAAAGATAGTTTTCTTTATTAAAAAAATTTATTGTTATAAATTTATGATTCTAAAAGCTAAAAATAGCAAACAGTGGACTATTGACTATTGATTTGTTGTTGTCAACACATAGCCTATTTTTAGCTGTTGTAAATTATTCAATATTAAAACCTGAAAATTTTTATAATTTTTACAACAAAAAATTTATTATAAAAATAATTTTTTAAGTTGGTATAAAAAAAAGTTACAAGTGTAAATTTTTAAAGTAAATTATTTGTCAGATGTTTCCTAATTTGAACGCTATAAAAAAATGTCCACGTGGAAATTTTCACAAAATTTTTCACGTGCATTATTCATCAAGAAATTTCTAGATGACTATTAGTTTCAGAGAGTCGTTAACTAAAATCTATTATTTTTAGTCATAAAATTTATCGTATTGTTAAAAATATTTGGCCAAAGACTCTAAGGTTTATCGGAATCTTTTTTTAATTTTTTTTTAATTGCCCATACCACTATTATTGTTCTTTTTAAAAGCCCGTTATTGATGGCCAAATTCTAGTAATTTAAACTGTCAGTTTTAAAAATTTCAATCATATCTAAAAATCTGCTAATCTAAGTGAGTAATTACGGAGATATTAAATTTTTATAATTACAAAAAATTATTTGAGATTATTTATAAAAGGATTTATAGTTTTTAATTATTGTACTTAAATTAATTGGTATTTAAAACTTTTTTTTTCCACTAACTTAATTACAAAAAAATTCCACATGTAAAAATTATTTTTAATATCTTGCTATAAAAATCACTAATAACAATAATAATATTATTATTATTATTATTCTTTATTAACATATGCCGTATGGCAACTTACATGATATTATTGTTTTATTGTGTACATTTTAATGAAAATGAAGTTAGCCGATATTTAAAAATTTTTTATTGAAAAAGTTTCAATTAAAAAATTTAAAAAAAAATTGTCATGTAAAAAACTATAAGTGCAATTTTTTAGAAAAATCTTTTTAGTTGTAATTTAATTAATAAAAAAAAAAATCAAAAATTTTTAGACGTCTGATAACTTCAGTGTCATACATTTTAATATTATAATTATTTTTTAATAATATCTTGTCTTAAAATTAACTTATAAATTAAAGAAAGAGATCATAATAATTTTTTACATCAGATTTAACTTAATCTATTTTTATTTTAAATCTAAATTTAATAAGTAATCACCTTAATAAAGTTAGCCGAAATTTTTGATTTTTTTATTTTACTTAACTTATTAAATTATATCTAAAAAATATTTATTAAAAAATTGCGCTGATAGTTTTTGAAGTTTTTAACAAATGAAAAAAAATTTTTTTTACTTTTTTGTAATAATTCTTTAATAAAAAAAAAATATTATCCAAAAATTGCACTGATAGTTTTTCAAGTTTTTAACAAATGAAAAAAATTTTTTTTTACTTTTTTTGTAATAATTCTTTAATAAAAAAAATAATAAAAATTTTTAACTTTATTTTCATTAAGTAATCTTAAATTTAATTTTTGAAAATCTCGACACTGCTTGATTGAATAATTTCTTGTGGTAATTCTTGTCAAAGAATTAGAATCGAATAGATGATACTATAAATGAATTTTCATAAGAAGTTGTCAAAAAAAAAATACTATTTTTTTTTTAATATCAAAAAAAGAAAAAAAAATGTCACTGACTTGAGAAATATTTTTTTTTTATATAATTCAATCAATAAATCATTTCTAACGATCATAAAATGTAATAATAAACCTTAAATAATATTCCAGAATGGCAAAGTCATCAACAGTGGTGAAAGCGCCGCGGAAGCAAGGCTTCAACCGATCAGGCCACAGTATGAACCCAGAGCGTTCAACGAAAGACCTGAAAGGTGTCGCCAAGCCGCGTTCAAAAGGGACAATAAAGCGATTGCAGATGTATCGATGTCAAAAAGCCAAAAGAGATCGTTCAGGTAAAATAATAACTCCAGCTCCATTCCAGGGTTGGAACAAATCAGGAACCATGTCTAGAGTCGAGCCATCACCTCGTTGGTTCGGTAACTCCCGTGTGATTTCCCAAAACGCGTTGCAGAAATTCCAGAGCGAATTAGGCGCCGTGATGAAGAACCCTTATCAAGTAGTAATGAAACCTACGCAATTGCCTATAACTCTGTTAGAGCAGAAAGCCGCTCAAGAGCGTTGCCACATATTGGACACGGAGAGTTTCCACACGGTGTTTGGTCCCAAAAAGCAGAGGAAACGCCCAAATTTACCTGTATCGTCCTACGATGAGATGCAGAAGCTAGTAGAGGAGAGGGAGGAAAAATACGACAAAGAAAAGGACAAGAAGGACTTTGACCTCATAAGACCCGATGATGGGATTCGAGATGCCCAACGTGATTGGGTTATGGGCGCAGGTCAAAGCAAAAGAATTTGGAATGAATTATACAAGGTGATAGATTCATCCGATGTTATTTTACAAGTTTTGGATGCGCGCGATCCCTTGGGCACTCGATCTCCACCTGTGGAAAAATTCCTCAAGACCGATAAGCCTCACAAGCATTTAATTTTCATCCTTAATAAGGTAGACTTGGTGCCAACTTGGGTTACACAAAAGTGGGTTAAAATCCTGAGCAAGGAATACCCAACTGTTGCGTTCCACGCCTCGCTAACCCACCCCTTTGGCAAAGGCTCGCTGATAAATCTGCTCAGGCAGTTCTCTAAATTGCACATTGATAAACAGCAGATAAGTGTTGGGTTCATTGGGTATCCCAACACCGGAAAAAGCTCGATAATAAACACCCTGAGGTCGAAAAATGTATGCAAAGTCGCGCCAATTGCAGGAGAGACAAAAGTTTGGCAGTATATTACTCTGATGAAGAGAATTTATCTGATAGATTGTCCTGGAGTGGTTTATCCCTCTGCGGAAACTGATACTGAGAAGGTTCTCAAGGGAGTTGTCAGGGTTGAATTGGTTACGAATCCTGAAGATTATGTCGAGGCTGTTTTGGAACGCGTCAAGCCTGAGTATATGCAACGGACGTATAAAATTGACGAGTGGTCGGACCATAATGACTTTTTGGAGAAACTGGCAAACAAATGTGGGAAATTATTGAAAAAAGGCGAGCCTAATATTAACGTTGTTGCCCGCATGGTGTTGAACGATTGGCAGCGTGGAAAGTTGCCGTACTTTGTCACTCCCACAGCTGCAACTGAACAACAAGAGTTGCAACAGCAGGAGCTCGAAAAGACATGTGAGCCAATTGGGGAAGAAAGTAATGGAAATACTGAGGCTCAGATCAATGCTGATACCGAAAGCCAATCGGGTATTTCGGATGTGTCTAAAGATAAAAACTCTGTGGGTGATGCGGAGCCAACAGCTGCTAAAGAGAAATTACAGCCCTCTGTCTTGCAGGACTTTAGGAAAATTCGCGTAGCTCTTAGTTATGTTGGGGAGGACAACCAAAAGCTTGATATAAGTAATGGTGAGTTGGGTAAAGGTGATTCCGTGAGCGAGTTGAGCTACTTGCAAACTCCCGCGGGGTCTGGGGATGAAGATGATGGTGATGATGGTGATGATGGTGATGATGATGGAGATGGAGATGGAGATGTGGAGAAGAAGGAGGAGAAGTTGGAGCCAGTTCTTGGCAAGGATGACAATAAGATGTCAGAAATTGACGAAGGGACTGTTGAACTAGAGGACAATCTGATGCAAAGTGTTTTTGATGTTGTCTCTGAAAAGGACGACTCCAGTGAGGACGAAATTCCCAAAAGTAATAAGAAAACTAGTACTACTAAGTGTTCAACTGCTAGCGGGGCTTTCCAAGTTTCTTCGCTTGGAACTGAAGACAAGAGCAACAGTTTGACGAGCAAGCAACGACGGGGAATTGAACGTCAGCAAAAGCGCAAGAAAATTGGCAGTAACTTTTATGAAGTTGCTAATGTCAAAAATCGCAGGCATAGGAGAGTTCAGAAAGTTTAATTTTGATTGTATTTATAAGTTTTTTAAATAAAAAATTTACTTAAAATTATTATTGAGAAATTTTTAATTTTTTTGACATTATTAATATGACCTAGAAATTTTTGTAAAATTATTTTATTACAAAGTAGGTTTGACGACTTATCTGGAACACTCATTTTTGGTAACTGTGATAAGAGTTTGGGAAGAATTACCTAGTGATATTGTAAACTCAAATAGTCTTGAAGTATTTAAAAACAAAGTTTATGATTATTTTTTAGAGTTAGATTTTTAAACTGATTATTAAGTTGATAAATCATTTTAGTGGAGTTGAGCAAATTGTTAAATCGAAAGTCAAAAATTAAAAACTCTTAAAATTGAAAATTAAAATCAAATTAATAAAATCCGAATGTAAAATAATGTTTCATACTATATTTCTATTTTTATTTTTCATACTGTTTCTCTTTTTATTTTTGTACTTACAGATGCTACCTTGTGCAGATTGCTATGTATTTTCTATATAATCATGTAATACTTGTAAAGTTGCCTAAATCTAAATCTAATTTTTTTAGAGTAAACAAAAGCGTTCAAATAATTTTTTCGGATCTTTTAATTTAAAGCCTTGACTTGTGAGAGTGGGATTTGGCCTCCCGTATCCAGAGGAAGTTTTTATTTAATTTTTCATACTTTCGGCACCTTATTTTGCTGTTATTAATATCGACGTTCTAATTAGCAAATTGTCTGACTCCATTTTAGAGAATCTTCCAATTGTACGAAAAAACAATTAGTTTAAAATTTATTATCACTTTAAAAAACTATTTAATATCTAATAAAGGTATAATATTTTGGTTTAGATCATTCAAATAATTTATAATTAGACTATTGCTACATTAAAATGTTAAAAAATCACCCTCTAAAAAATGAGTTAAACCAATTGCTAATTAGACCGTCGATATATCTTTCTGATTTCAAGGAAATTGAAAATTCGTTGGCAAGTTTGGAACTTTAGAATTATTTTGTAATTGCATATTAATCATTGTATTAAATTATTTAAATTGTGAACGGAGAATGGGCAATTATTATTTTTTTTTTTTAGTGCAAAATAAAGTAAAATCTCTATAAAGTTCCGCTGTGAATAGTTCCGTTCCCCTCAATCTTTTTCCCTTCTCTTTAATATTTCCCCTTCGTTCGTACGACATAAGGCGGAGCATATTTTATGTGTGAGAGCATATGTATGAGGTCGATAAGATAGTTATTTTGCAAACCAGCTTAGCCTTATCATCATAAAAATATAAACACCATAACCCCCTTGCTGTATCAATATAAGTATTAGTAAACATGTAGTGCATATTATTAAAATTGATATTTATTATTAATAATAATAATAATAATAATAATAATAATAATAATAACAATGCTACTTGTGATAATATCAATAATTAGTTTTATTTATGATGTAAGTAAAATAATAAAACTTTAAACAATTAATATGAAATATGTGTCAATTGAATTTGATTCTGACAAATTTTAGGTTATTGATATGAAAGGAATATTTAAATTTCCCGGGCATTATTTCAATGTATTGGTGAGTTACCATTCTTCAGATTGATTGGTTTGCAAGAAATAAGCCACGCCCCTTTAAATCTACTTTGAATAGTTTCCTACCCCGAAGACCGAAACTTTATAAAAAGTTTACTGTATAGTAATATATTTTGTAATTTATTTAAATAACTGCTTTAATATATTGGAGAGTAATTTATCAAACCTTGAAGGCTAAATGAAAAATAATTGCTCATTTATATGTTTGTAGTATTTAAAATTAGTCATTGAATTTTGAATGTTTTTCGGTTTTCGGCATTACGCATGATGAACGTCAATAAAGAAATATTTATGTTAATGCGGCGAAAAATGTTAAGTATTTCTAAAATGAGTTTCACTAAATATTTTTTCTGACATTTTAACAGAATTTTGAAACGTTGTAATCATGTGATAAGGATCTTAAATTTTTTGCTTTTTGCTTATTACTCCCTAAAACTGAATTAGTAAAAATTCGTCAAATAAGTGAATATTCACTTATTCATATTTAGAGAGTACTTATTACTTATTACTTATACTATAATGCTAATTGAGAAGCTCAAAATTTGAAAAGAAAATTCACATAGCTACCTCTGTAGAATTTTCCAGTAAGTCCATATATTACAGGCTTTTGTCCTCAAGTAGTTTGCGAAAAGTTCTGAGAAAAACATCTGGAATGTTTTTTGTGGTCCTCATGGGCTCTTAGTGTGTCTGAAAAATAAATCAGTTGCTTTAAAATTTCTTTTTTTTTTTTGGTAAACTTTTTAGGTTTCTTTTCGATTTTAAAATTAATTACGGAATTTTTAAATAAATAATTGAATTTATTTTCGGTGAAAAATAAAATTTAGAGCTTGGAAAATTAAATTATACTGAAGAAACCATAGCGAGTAAAAAGTGGTTGAATTTTAGTTAAATTTAACAATTAGTCACATGGGTATTGATCGTTAACTTTAATTTATCGGATTTTTTTTCTGCCGCTTGGCAATTGAAAGCATGAAGAGACAGAAATTTTACTTTAAACTTAAAAAAAAAAAAAAAAAAAAAAAAAAAATAAATTGCTTTTAAATATTGCTAAAAAATTCTTGCAAAAATTTTCTTTTTTACATTCTTAATAATAAATAATTTATTTTTTGACACTAAAAAGTAGCAATTTAATTTTTAAATTAAATTACAAATAAAAAAAATACTTAAAAAATTTTTTCTTTTAATTTTTTCAATAAAAAAAATTATTAAAAAATTTTAGTAACAAAATTCTACATCTAGAAATAAAGAAAAATTATAATTGTAATTTTTTTTTATAATTTTGTCCTAAAAAAAATTTTTTTAGATTGCTATAGCCCATATAGCAAACTTTTTCAAGGCTTGAGCAAATCTGGTCTCAATTTCGATAGTTGTTAGTGTCTTTTTTTACCTATGGGTCTTGGCTCCAGATACTTGTAGCAAATTCAATTGACAAGCCTTGTACAAGAACTTTGGGCCAGATTATAGCTCAAGTCTTGAGAAAGACTGACACCAGAAGCATGCTAAATATACTTGTGCAAGAGTTGCTCAAGATTTACTCAAGATGAAATGTTTTTGAATGACCGTTCGCATCATTCTACCCCTCCTATATTTACTATAGAACCAGTGGATTTCTGAGAATTACGGATCTTGAGCAAATTTTGAGCAAGTCATGGGTAAGTCTTTGTTGTGAGTTTCTGGTACAAAAAATGCGTAAGAAAGTTTTTCAATGCACCTTGCTTTAGACTTGTCTCATATTCTTGCACAAGATGTCTTGAGCTAGTTACATATAAATCTTGAACCATGTATTTTTAAATAAACTTGAGCAAGACCCATATGTAGAAAAAGACACTAGCAACTGATTTATAAAAATTAAATTAGCTGACATTTAAAAATTTTTAGAATTATTTTTCATTTAATTTGAAAAACTATAAGTGCAATTTTTTAAAAAATATTTTTTACTTTTAATTTAACAAATAAAAAACGTCGGCTAACTTTACTATTATTGCTGATTTTAGTGTAATTTTATTTCCACACTACCTAAAAGAAAAAAAACATTAGTTATCGCAATAACGATATTATTGTAACAATATTTACTTTAAAAATCGATTAGAGCTGTGTAGCAGCTCTAGGATTGATAAAAAATGTTAATAAAGAAATGGCGCAGTAACTTCCGTCACTTGTAGGATGTGTTTGGTGGCCGTTAACGATTTTTCCCCTTCACTTTGGGTTTCCGCTATTAGAACCCTCTTACATTAGATACCCGGCTAGCCCCAATCGTGATGGCATCGCTCTTTTCGGAATTAGGTAACAAGGGGGTTGGCCAATGCCACATCAACTGCTCGTGGAAAAGAGCGTACGCAGGAAAAGTTTGGCCTAAATATAAAACCTACGCAATTGCTTTGCTATATCCAGTCGGTCTCGCGAACGTCGAAGCGAATTGGATTTCATCGGCCCCTTCTATTCCACATGTACATAAATATACACACGTAGATGCGTGTATGGAAAAGCCATCTGGTCGATCCCGTATCCGGTTTGGCGAAGAGAAATAAAGAAAAGCCTGGGGAAAAATATGTGCCTGTATATATATAGCCAGACCCTCGGCAATTTTTCACAATCCAAAATCCCGTAGCACAAAGCCAGACAATAAAATCCTCAAAATAAAATTCACAAAAGCTTTAATGTACCTTCTATTCGCTAAATGTTGCTTTTCTTTTTTTTTTTTTCAAGAATATTTGCTTTGAAAAATTAAATAAAATTCGGAACATAAAAGACTGCAAATAGTGAAGTTTTAAAATGGTATTCTTGGATTTTTACAATGTTAATTTTTTTTTAGCTACTTCTTCTTGATTGGAACAGCTGAAGCTAATTATTTTACCTAAAAAAAAAAATTTTTTTTAATAAATATTTATTTTATTATTTTTTAATAATTTTTTTTTAAATTAAAATTAAAGTAGCAGGTATTTGATAATTAGTTAAATTTTTTAAGAAAATAAATTATTATAATTAATTTAGCAGATATTTGATAATTTTAAGAATTTTTTTAACAAATAAATTATAGCAAAAAAAATTTTTAAAAATAATTTTTTTTTTAAATCTATTAAAAAAAAAAATAAAAAATGTTTAAATGACAGCTAATTTTAGTGTGATAAATAAATTACTGCAAAAGAAAATTAGAAAAAAAAAATTGATATGTAAAAATTTTTAAAAATAGTTTTTCAGAAAAAATTTGTTTGTTAAAAATTCTGAAATTAAATTATAATATTGAGACCGAAAAAAATTTCTGTAAAACTACCTTAAATTTGCTAAATGTTGCTTTTTTTTAAAAAAAAAAAAAAAAAAAAAAAGAAGAATATTTGGTTTAAAAAATTAAAGAAAAATTCAGAACATAAAAAGCTGCAAATAGTAAATTTAAAAAAATGCATACTTAGATTTTTACATTGTAAATT